ATGTATGTATGTATGTATGTGTATGTATGTATGTGTATGTATGTATGTGTATGTATGTATGTATGTGTATGTATGTATGTATGTATGTATGTGAATGTACTGTTTGTATAAAAGTAGTATATGGTTTTAATAATAGCCTACACACACACACGCACACACACACACACACACACACACACACACACACACACACACACACACACACACACACACACACACACACACACACACACACACACACACACAAACACGGACACACGCAAACACAAACACACAAAAAAGACAAACACCAAAAAAAAGCACAAACACACACACAAACAAACACAAAACACACCTACCTCGCCCGTCTCGGTGAAACGGAGCCACGACTGTAATTTTTTTCTCGAGCTCGCAGATAGGACTCGTAATTTCGTCCGTATCGCCGCGTCTGGAAACGACAGTAATTTCCCTCCTAATGATGGAGTCGAGGGCAAGGGGGAAAGGCCTTCAGGAGGGGGAGGGGGAAGGGGGGAAAGGGTGGGAGGGAAGGGAGGAAGGAGGAAAGAGGTGACTTCAGAATGAGGAAAGTAAGGAAGGGGAAGGGAGGAGGTTTCAGGAGGGGGAGGGTAAGGAGGGGGAAGGGAGGTGGTTTCAGGAGGGGGAGGGGAAGGAAGGGAGGGGAAGGGAGGTGGTTTCAGGAGGGGAGGGAAGGTAAGGAAGGGGAAGGGAGGTTATTTCAGGAGGGGGAGGAGGTGACGTAAAGTGCCTTAGGAGGGGCAGGGCACGGGGGCAGGTGGCTTCAGGAGGTTAAAGTGAGGGAAGGAAGATGACGTAAGGAGAGGAAGGTAGGGTAGGGAAGGGAGGAGGGAAGGGAGGGAAGGGGGGGTGGGGGTGCGAAGAGTTCACGAGGGTAGGCCTAGGTATGCTCGGCGTGACCCGGCGGTGACCCCTGAGCGCAGCAGGCCTACTTTGGGAGGTTAGGCTTAGGTCTATTTGAAGTTCATGCCGGCGAGGAATGTGAAGTCAGGTCGCGCGCGGAAGTTTCTTTTCTTTCGTGAAGGTGTTCTTAGGGATTTGTTATTATTGGTGTTATTACTACTACAACAACAACTACTACTACTACTGCTACTACGACTATTATTGTTATTGTTATCATTTTAGTAGTAGTAGTAGTAGTAGTAGTAGTAGTAGTGGTGTTGTTGCTGTTGTTGTTCTTTGTTGTGTTTTTGTTATCATGTTTGTGTTGTTTTGTTATTGTTGTTATTAATGTCATTCTTGTTTTGTTGTTGTTTTCTCGTTGCTATCATTGTTATTATTATTGATTTGTTTTTGATTTTTTGATATTCTCTTTATATCTACCTATTTATCTTTATATACATATGCCTTTCTGTCTAGTTACTACTACATGCATCTTTTGTATTTTTGTGTGTATTTAACTGTCTGTTTATATATCTATCTGTCTGTTTGTCTTTATGTCTGTCTCCCTGTGTGTCTGTCTATCTGTCCGTCTGACTGTCCGTTTGTCTATCTGTCTGTTTACCTGCGTATCTGTCTGTCTGTGTATCTCTCTGTCTACCCGCCTGTCTGTTCGTCATTGTCTGCCTCTGTCTGTGTGTCTGTCTGTATATCCCTCTGTCTACCCGCCTGTCTGTCTGTCATTGTCTGTCTCTGTCTGCGTGTCTGTCTGGTTATCTCTCTCTCTATCTCTTGCCGGCTGTAAATGTCAGCTTATTTACTACTTCATAGCTCTTATGAGGTGACGTAGCGAGATAACGGAGATAGCATCAAACGAGAGAGAGTTTGCCGCTTATGAACGGTTTCGTTTACTTTGGTGTTACCGGGTCGCGAGATCGGCCTTTGCTGTTGATGCTGCTGTTGCTGGTGTTTTTTTTTTTCTTGGTCTTCTTCTTTTTGTTTTTCCTCTGTTTTTTCGTCTTCTTCTTCTTCTTCGTGTTCTTCGTGTTCTTCGTGTTCTTCGTGTTCTTCGTGTTATTCGTGTTATTCGTGTTATTCGTCTTCCGCTTCTTCTTCGTCTTCTGCTTCTTATTCTTTTTCTTCTTACTCTTCTTTATTTTTCTCTTCATCATCTTCTTCTTCTTCTTCCTCCTCTCCCTCCTCCTCCTCCTCCCCTCCTCCTCCTCCTCCTCCTCCTCCTCCTCCTCCTCCTCCTCCTCCTCCTCCTCCTCCTCCTCCTCTTCTCCTCCTTCTCCTTCTTCTCTTCCTTCTTCATTCTATCCTTCCTACTGTTTATCATCATGATCTCCCTCTCCTCCTCATCCAAAAACACAAACACCATAATTCAGTCCCGAAGACGTAAAGAGATCTAGGGGCATGACATCACGTTGCAATCATGCTTTATGTTGCACCGAAGTTGTGTTGTTGGTGGGTAGTATGCTCCTATGAAGGCCTATCCATGGGCTTTTGTGTTCGATTTTTATTGTTATTGTTTCTTTTCTTCCTCTTTCCATTCTTCATTTTCATCCCGAGATTCTGTGGTCAGCATCGTATCATTATTACCATT